AAAAAGTTACTTGGAGAAAAACGCTTAAAAATCCCAAATGATTCTCTTGTAAATCGCTGCACCATACTGAGAGCAAAAATACCGAATTTAGTCTCATTCGGCGTGACAAATGTAGAACAAACACAATGTGTACAGCTTTGGAATATCTTTTAGCGAAGGAAATTGGAGCAATATAAAAGCAAAATCAAAATATCAAAACTGATAATTCCCAACCCATTTCGTACCGTGTGTTTACAGCTTAGGGATGAAACACAGACACAGGCTATGAAGTCACTGTACATACAAGCTTGCTTATCTGAGAGATCTAAATGGCACTACTTCCAGTGTTTTCATTAATTATCAAAATTCGACTGTGTTCCTCTCCACGCTGGTGGCCCCGCTCTCTTCCAACCTCCTAGTCAGGTGGTAGTTGTTATTGGCGCTACCTCGGAGTGCTCCATCTCTTACAGAAAATGAAAAGGGAGACAGTTTTTGGCAGATTATCAAAAATTAACGAAGTTGAGCGGAGCAGAAAAAAAACGTACATTCGTGTAGACACGTTTCACAACACCATATTTGATCACCAAAACATCAAACGATGCATCGAGCACCTGCAGTACCACAGCACGCTCTGTTAACGGACCACATTCCTGCAAATAAGCCAATTAAGTTAATCTTTTCCAATTTCCCCTCTCCTCCCCTTCCCCCAAATCTCACTTGCCTAAGCAAGCTTACTAAAATCCTTCAAGTTCTTCAAAAAAAGGCTCTTCTAGCGGGACAATTACGCAAACATATATGAAAATGTCCTGCGAAAACCTCGCGGAACAGCTAAGCAGCGCAGAACGAATTATAACACTATTGGTTTCTACTGTTCACCGACTATTTTCAAAAAAAAAAAAAAAAAGAAACAAACCCTAATAAAAACGCCAAAGAACATATCATCACTGGCTTCGGAAACTGTCTTAGCGGTCAGTTTTCGATCGTTGCAATGATTTGCAATCGCCGCAACTTCCTTGATCGTAAGACTCGGCGGTGGCGAATATCCAATTGCAGCAGACAAGAAACGATGCACCTGCAGAGAAAAGGAGAGCCCACTGCGATATTTCACAGTTTAATTATAGGCCGAAATTGAATGATAATCATAAAAAGAAGTTTGTTTCATCTTCTGAACATTTTTCTTTTATTTTCAATATTTTATTTCTTTTCAATTTTCATTTTTATTTTTCAAATATTTTCAATTATTTTATTTCCAAATATTTTCAATATTTTTATTTTCAATTTTACATATTTTCAAAAGTATTTAAATATTTTCAAAAAAATACTTCACATACATATTTCATCTCTTTCTCGTCAATATTCGACTTAACGGACTTATTACGACTTAATGGACCGAAACATTTCTTACTAATATAATAATGGCACTAATTTCACAATTTTCCTGATTTTCTAATTCTCATTTCCTACCTTCCTTTTGATTTTTCTGCTTATTTCGTCCCACGCGCAATACTAAAAGTATCCCACGTCAAAACATATGTATTTTTGAAATGCTAAGTCATCAAATCGCTAAAAACAACTTACCAGTACATCAGGATATCGTCGAATCGGTGACGTGAAGTGGGTGTACAGAGGCACTGATAAGGCATAATGTGCATATTCCGCTTTACTTTTCATTGAACCAACGCAAAAATATACAGCCAATTGCATCGCTTTCATCAGCAAATATGAAAGCACCTGAAATTCAAAACATTTTCCATAGCACCCCTTGCAAATTTCACACCAAAATAGGCCAAGTAGTAGCAGATTTGTCAATGGTAGTTTTGTCCGCTGGCAAGGCTCTTGACTTTCAATCTAAGGCTATCAAAACGAATGAACAAATCGCACGGAGATCAGTCTGTTTACTGACCGAGTCGAACAATCGATTTTTATGAGTTTTCGCACATATGCAAATGCAAAAACGCAAACTGGTAAAGGGGCAGTCCGTGTGTGTGTGTGTGTGT